ACCTGAACTAGCTAGTTTAAACTTAAACTTTCAAGTTCCGACACTAAAACCAGACCGGACGAACTATTTAACATCCCTACAGCCAAAGATTCCAATACTTGGCATAGAAGATTTAGATTAAATATATATATTAGATAATTATTATTAGCACAAATTAATTTTCATTAGATGTTTTCTCTTTATAATTTTTTTCTATTTATTTGCATACTGAAAACAAGTCTTTCTTTTAATGAAATGGTTAATTATAAATTATTGCATAACTAATAAGATAGAAATAATACCATTACAATTATACAAAAACGTTTAGATTCATCTTTATTTATAATTTCAGCAGGGACCTTACCAATAATGTAGATTTGAGTTTAACATTAAAATTTTTTTTATATTGTTTTAAAGACTTCGAATATCTTGTAATTACTCTCTTGCATTATACGTAAGTTCCAATAAAATAATTAATTAAGCTTGAAGCTTCTTATCGTAGAAGTTGAATCTACATGAATTCAACAACTGATAATAGAAAATACAGTATATGTAGTGTCTCGTATTATGAAGAGGGCATATTTCCAGAGGTAGTTTCATTGCTAAAGGTTGATATTTTGTGATAAAAACATTAGCCCAAAATATTTGGGACGATCAAAATATGTGACAATTAGTCTCACATGACAATAAGTACGTATAAAGACCTTGTGATACTAATTGTCACCTGGTTTGGCCGTCACAAAAAAAGTTTGGGCTATATTTAAATCAGAGGTGGTAATTACAGGTTCGTTAAATTTTAGCATCCGTTGCTGTTTAAAATTTTTTTTACTGCTGTCACGGGCAAAAAGTAATATTTCCAAAAACGTGATGAAGCTGATGAAACTGCGCCTCCAGAAACAGGATCGTTGATGGAACAATCGATGATGCAGATCCAAGAATAACTATTTAAAGGATGTTACAAACATTAGAGGTTGGTAACGACTCTTATGTGCGAGGTAGGGGCACATAAGGTTGATCATAATTATCGAATTCCCCTTCCCCAAATCACCAACGTCATGCCTCTGGCGAGGAGCTTAAAGAAAGTATACGAATTACCGAATTACCCGTAACATTTGGTGGTGACTAACAATTTACCCCGTAACACTGCTATTATCATAATTCCCGGAACACCTGATAATTTCCCGCTACCCCAGTCTCGTCCCGTAAATTACCTAACCTTCGGAAACTATATCGCTGTCTTCAGACCTCCAATCCGAAGACAGCAATACAGTTTCTTAAAGGTTAGGACAAGACTGGGAATATTTCGGGTAGCGGGAAAATTATCAGGTGTTCCAGGAAATAAAAAATGTGATGTTATAGGATAGGTGGGCAAACTCCACTAAACTCCGCAGAATATATTAAAAAATTAATGATTACTAATCTTTAGCTGAGCTTATTTCTTGCATTGTCCAAAAAAGGACGTTTTTTTACCATTCTTACTTCGAACAATAAAAAACCATTTATTATGTGCAATATAAAAAGCATATCATTGTGTTTCTTTTTGAATATCCGTTATTTTTGTGAAGAATTTATCATTGATGTTCGGACTCAGAACTCAATAAAATCGTCGATCCTAACTAAATCTATAATGGCGAAATTTATTCCGAGTATTTGCTGCGACTACTACTACGCATTGGGTGCCCCAATTCCCACTTCACTATTAGAGTAGAAAAAATTTGATTAATAATATAAATACTACGCTAAGTGAATAATTAGTACAGCCAATTAGAGGTGGTGGGGTAAATTACGTATGCCCAATAAGATATAAGAAGAAACATAGTATTCTTTTTTTTCATTATAAATAGGTCCTTTTTTCTATCCATTTTTTTTACTCTTCTTAAAGATCTCTTTTACAGAATATAATTCTTTCATAATTATCCCTCAAAAAATTATTTGTAAATATGCAAAATAATGATTTTATCGAAAAATCTGATGAAAAAACTCAAGATACGTTCAAGACCATTGTAGTCGATGATAAAGAAGACTGGAAATGGCCATGCTTTGAAGAATTTTATAATGAGTGGACTGATAAAATGGAACGCAAAGTAATGATTGAAAGTATTAACATTGATCCCTTTGTGGTCATTTATCCGCGCGATGGCAATCCCTATGTTGAACTAAGCTCCCAATTCTTGATAAAAATCTTGAGAAACGTCCTTCCTAAATTTAATAAAAAACTTGAGGATAACGATAACGATAAACCTACTATCAATGCTCGAGATTTATTTCATGCTCTGGAAAAGTTAAGAGATGCTGTTAGTAAGTAAATTTGTTTATTAATTTCATATATCGTTTAATTAATATAAGGTTTTTAAAGTTGGTAACGCATCGGTCAACTGTCGATTTCAACAAAGGATAATTATATAAATGATTAAAATGAGTCAATAAGATTTAATCAAATATGGGCTAGGTGCTGCAAAAAGGGACGAAATTGACAAAAAAAAAGATCTTCGGAAAATCAATTATTTTCTAAATCTTAAATAAATCATAAGAAAATGCAAACTTTAAAGAGTTATACAGCAAAATTTTATTAAGATAACAGTATTTGTTTCTTAA